AAACACCCCGGTTCTGCGGTTTTCACTATCATGTTTTTGATAATAATTCAGCTTCAGTCACCGATATTAGTTTTCGTCTATCTCAGATAGAAAAGGGTGTTTCCCTTTAAAAGCGTCCAATTTGACCCACCCTGTACAGGGTGGACCATTTTGGTTGTTTCTATAGGGTATATAGGAAACCGTGCGAAATATTCAAATTTTGATACTGCACTCTCGGGTTCTTTTTTTAAAAAAATCACAATGGCGCAAACGGATCGTAGCTATCTTGATCGGTTTCGAAGCTACAGGGGGATTATCAAATTTTGTACTTTTTGAAGATGTTCGATAGTTTGTTTATTTAAACAACGACGCAAAAATGAATTAAACATTCTAAAGGCAGTTTTGTGTGTAGAATGCAGTGGCGTAGTCAGACTTTTAAAAAAAAAATATTTTTTTAGATATAAACTATACTTATGTTTTTTTTAAATACAACCCCCTGTATATTTTTAAATTTCCTGATTCAATTTGGCATGGGCTTCTCGAAAATATTTATTATTTTTACTATTAACTTTAAAATTACAATTTATTTAAAGATATCGACTTTCCTCTTGGTAGGTCATGCCGAGTATTAAAGGAAACAAGCGAATATCTACTTTGAAATTAATCCATGTATTAGCAGTTAAATAAATTCGAACAATACGAAGCAAATAAAAAATAAGTGTGACAGAAACAAAAGAACATATTTTAATACAAACTCAACAGGTCACTTCAATCGGGCTTCTCAGTTAATATAAAAAATAAAAACACAAAGACTACATTAAATATTCAAACTGCTGCCCATTATTATCTAGACGGAATTGGCACCGTCTCTGCACGCCGCCGCTTTTTTTCGAATGTGTATGTTGGTTACACTTTGCAAAGCCACAACAAAACTATCTTGGAACTCTTCTAATGTTCCATTTGCATTTCGATAAATTTCGATTTTCAGATAGCCCCAGAGAAAGAAGTCCAAGGGAGTGATATCAGGTGACCTAGGTGGCTAGGATTAAACTATTTTCTGACCTTTTAAAAATGGCTGGGTTTGGTTGCTCGCGCTCAAAATATCGCTCAAAATATAAATCTCAATATAACATTCTAACATATTATATTTCTCAAAATTTTAAATTTACTCATTTTTTTGTTATTTAAAATACACACACTTCAATCTGTTGAAATGAAATGTCACGCATCCATCAAAGCTATGTCCCGATCACCATGACAACCGTTTACTTTGTACGCGGTCTAATGGATATTTTAAGAATAATTTGAAACGTTGAGGTTAATAGTGAAAATAAATATAGAGTGTTATATATTTTCGAGAAGCCCATGCCAAGCTGAATCAGGAAATTTACAAATATACAGGGGGTTCTATTTAAAAAAACAGAAGTATATTTAATATCTAAAAAAATGTTTTTTTCGAAAAAAGTTTGACTACGCCACTGCATTCTACACAGAAAAGTACCTTAAGAATGTATAATTCATTTTTGCGTAGTTGCTGAAATAAACAAACTATCGAACATCTTCAAAAAGTACAAAATTTGAGAATCCCCCTGTAGCTTCGAAACCGATCAAGATAGCCACGATCCGTTTGCGGCATTGTGGTATTTTCAAAAAAAGAACCCGAGACTGCAGTATCAAAATTTGAATATTTCTTACGGTTTCCTAGATACCCTATAGAAACAACCAAAATGGTCCACCCTGTAAATGCTTTAAGTTTACTTAAACAAAATTCCCAAGTTTTTTATTCTAGGAGCTACAGATGCCCGATTACATTGTTTACATCTCGCCATGTTACCCCATTCTAAAAAAAATATCACATTAAGAAGTGTAAATAACGTAAAGAGGGACATAATGGATGGGTCAACAATTATTATTTTATACTTTTCTAGGTTTACTTATTTGTCGGAATTCGTAACACTAATGGCCGATAGTTACAAAACCAAGGGATGATTGTGTACCATTTGCAAGGCAACAATGCTTGTAAAATTATCAAAAACCCCATGCCTTTTTTATGTATTTTACTCTATATTTTAGTGGAATTTTTGACATTTAATTTGTAGATATATTATTTTTGACGTTTTTTGATAAGTTGAAATATTAAAAATAATTTTAGAAACAACTTCGCAGTCTCTGACTAAAATTACATACTCTCATGTGCTAATCAATTCAGATTTGTTTAGAGTAGATATAAAAGATTGCCGCTCTTCTAATTCACTATACCATAAACATTAAAGCTATTCAAAATAAACAGCAGACAGGCTTGAAATATACTGCAAGATTATTTAGTACATATTTTTCAATTATTTAGTCAGTAAGATAAACAGATTAACATTATTAAAGTAAATTAAATATTAAGGTTTAGGTATTTCACCGAGATATAATTATAATTCAATTAATTAATAGATGTATGTTTACTTCTAATTTAGATTTAAATAGCATTATCATCATATTATATTATACAGGGTGTCTCAAAAAAAACATGTGCCATCTCTCGTGGAGAGGTTCATCACGTAAAACTAAGATTTATTTTTCATATCAACATATACATCCGATTCTGCTTTGTTTCGTGGCTACAAACAGGGTGTCAAAGTCTTAATTACTTTTATATTATATATTCTTTTTCCAAATACTTATAGCGATTCCAATGCAATTTTGAAGGTAAAAGTTACTATAAATGCGACATATTTTAATGCTAATAAAGTGTCGCCATATTCACCAGGGATGTGCATATGGGTTATCACTGGAATATTTTTCTAAAAAAGCATGTAGGCCACTGACTTTTTTCTCTTGTTAGATAAATAGTGTAAGACGTTTAATGTCGATCAAAAGTTCTCTCGTTATATCTTGTCAATTTTGGCCTCCTTGATGACATTTTGATTAATTTGCCTTGATCCAATAAGTCTAATAATAGTAACCGTTAAAAAATGTTAATATCATTAACTTGCAAAACTGTTAAATTAGAAATTAGAACACATTGATTGCTCACCAAAAAATATAAAAATAAGTTCCAATAAACATGAATTCCATTATTTTACACATTTTGAACAAAAAGCTTTTTATTCAAAATATACAAAACTATAAAAATACAAAGAATAAAATAATTGAATTAACGAAGTTTTTATGTAAAATAAATATTTAAAATAGACCAGCAGCTTTTGATACATTTTTACATTTAAGGAAGCATTAAAATTTTTAGTAAAGTTCATTACTCTGGCTTAAAAGTCAACACAAGAATGAATTCTGAAACATAATGTACAGGGTGGGTCAAATTGGACGCTTTAAAGGGAAACACCCTTTTCTATAGAGATAGACGAAAACTAATGTCGGTGTCTGTAGCTCAATTTTTACCAAAAATATGATCGTGTAAATCGATATCTGTTACCGTTTATGAGTTACGGGGTGTTTTTCAAAAATGAAAATTTTGTATTTTTATGAAAACATTTCCAAAGCACCTTTTTACGTAGAATTTAATGGTTTAAGTATATTTTTTTTAAATTAATAATTTAAGAATTATCAACAGAAATGATGAATTTGATGTTTTATATGGGACACTTTGTATATTTTTAATTCATTGAAAAGATTTTAAAATTACCTTTCCAAAAATATAGCATACTTGATATTTTGCTCGATTCCTCTTCGAGATATAGAGTTTTTAAAAATTCGCCCACTTTGAATAAGTATAGGCTTTGAACCGCGCCGGCTGTAATGCAAAAAAATTCTGGCTGTGAGCATCAGTTAAAACGAAAATTATATTTGCTATGAGAGATGCAGAATTTTATAACAATTTAAAATATATTTAACCAACATCAACAAATTTAAACTATATCTAATAACAATAAAAATAAACAGCAAACCAAGACATGAGATTTTGCTACAGGTGTTAAAAATGTCGACCGTTTTCTGTTATGGACAGACGGGACTGTTTTTGAACGTTTCTCGCGGAATTCATTAATTCATTTCAATGGAGGTGAAAGATACCCTCGCATAACCGCTAAGTACTTATAATTCTTGTCTAGATTACACAGGCAATTTAAAAATAAGAACCTTTATTCTTTCGCACAGATAAAAATCCATAGGCACTAAGTCCGGCGGCCTCGACAGCCAACGAACAAAAGTTAGCTGATAACTTCAACGTTCTGAGGCGGTGCCTCGTCTCGTTGGAAAAATATGTTTTCGAGTTCCGTTAGGGGCAGATCATCAATAAGGCGTCCAAAGCCTACTAGTTAAAAGTGGCGAACTTTTAAAAATTCTGTATTTCGAAGAAGATTATAACAAAATATCAAGTGTGCTATATTTTTGGAAAGGTAATTTTAAGTTCTTTTCATTTAATTGAAAATATACAGGGCGTCCCAAATAAAAATCAATTTTTCTGTTGATAACTCTTAAATTATTAATTTTAAAAAAATTATACTTAAACCATTAAATTCTACGTAAAAAGGTGCTTTGGAAATGTTTTCATAAAAATACAAAATTTTCCATAGCAAAAAAGTTACAGCAATTTGTTAAAAATGCACATTTTTGAAAAACACCCGGTAACTCCGAAACGGTAACAGATATCGATGTGCGGTTTTCACCATCATGTTTTTGATAAAAATTAAGCTCCAGACACCGATATTAATTTTCATCTATCTCCTATAGAAAAGAGTGTTTCCCTTTAAAAGCGTCCAATTTGACCCACCCTGTAGAAGGTGTTAACAACCTTTTTTTATTATAGCATGCATATTTAAATATCTTAAAAACTTAAGCTTTTAAACAAATTAAACCCTTTAATAAATGCCTTATTTATGTCCTAGACTCCAAAAATGAAATAAAATACCAGGTGTTCCATAAGAAAATAACATAACTTTGGTATGGATCTTAGTTTTGACACACCCTGTACATTACAAAATAGAAAATTATTATTTTTTAATATCGACAAAAAATTTAATTTCAAAAAAGATTATTGGTGTATTTTGACATGATTGATATAATAACATACTTACCAAATAATTCTGCATGGCCTTTTCGCTTTGGAGTATCCTCCTTGCTGATCCCGGAATACTTCCGGGCGTGCCGAATTTGATGGACGACATAACTGAAAGATCGTTGTCCGCTGTTTGATTTGGGCCTAAAGCTGGAGTGCTGGTTAGGAAAGGATTAGTCTTAAATCCGGCTTTCTAAAACGGGAAAAATTGTACCTGTTAAAATTCATCACTATTTTAATCGAAATTGGGTTTACCTTCAACATTTCCCTGAGTTCCTGGTTCTCCTTTTTTAATTTTTGAATGGAATTATGGGAACTGATGCATTGCCTTTTAGCATAGTCGTATTTCTTATATAAGAATTGTAGGTACAAATTCTTATGCATTTTTTGAAAATTTATTACCTTAAATGACACCAGTTGAGTAGGTAATACAAAAAATAACTTGTTTATACTTACTTGTAATGATTGTTGGACAATATTTTCAAGTGGCCAAAAAAACATTTGCATACTGTGATCCATTTCTTGAGACAACTCCATTGTCGAAGAAGAATTGTTACACAAAAGACATTTTTTAGTTTCCTCTAGTTGAAAACAGTTAAAATTAATTAATGTTTGGTAGTTATATAAAATGAACTTACTTATTTTCAGCGCACATCTATCACAAAAGACGTGGCCGCATTCTGTTAAGTGAAACTTAAAGTTGCTTTGATACTTTGCGGAACATTTATTACAGAACACCCAGTCCTTCATTTTTTATTAAAATTTTAAGAATTTGATTAATTTCAACCAGAAATTACAAATTCTTATCTCATTAGTGACGCATGGTGGCGCGTTCTTACATTAAAAAATTATTTTTTGCAATACCAGAGCCTTCTTGATTTTTAAAATCTACATATACGGCAGAAATTGAAGTTTTGGAATAGCTTACAGATGGCGACACAATTTAATCAGACATTTTTAAATATTAACATATTTCGAATTTACGTTATCGGTAAATACGTAAAATTCAATTATTGAACTTGTTTTTTAATATTTGATTGGACGAACTATTTATTAATTGGACAAATATATATTTACATATTTAATATTTCGACAATTCTAATAGTTTTCTAACACCTTATTTAATCTGTGTCTACGTCTACAAATTATTCTGTCAAAAACATAGGTTATGTCGTTGTTTTTATATTTTTATTTAAATTATCAAAGTTCGGATTTTAATATTTTTATTCAATGTTTTGATTGTAGGAGTTTTGAAAGTAAATTCATGGAAAATGTTTAGATCATTCAGAAAATTATATAATAAGACTTGTTTACAACAAATTTGTATATTATCAAGAACACAATATAATCATACATTAATTTTAACAACTAGCCATTTACTGAAACAACCATCTATAAGGTTTAATGATATTCGTTTCAAAAGTAAAGGCCCCAAGAAGCAGTGTGGGAAGAGTGAATCAGAAAGTTATGAAGAGGATGATGATTCTGAAGAAGTTTACCAGGACAAACATACTAAAGTGATAAATATTAGTGTCACATCTCTTCGTGTTGATGGCATTTTAAAAAGTGGTCTGGGTATGGCGAGAAATAAAATTGAAACATTGTTTTACGAAAGTAAAATTAGAGTAAACGGGGAAAAGATTTTAAAGAAAAGTACAATGGTCCGAGAAGGGGATGAAATTGATCTTATTAAAGGACCTGATTTAAGAAATCCAAATTTTGTTAATATAGCAAGACTGGAAATATTGAAAATTACACCAAAAGAAGAAACTATTTCAGTAAGAATGAGAAGGTGCAAATCTCTTAGTGTAGAATCTTACAGCTGACAAAATGTTTATTAAGTTTTTATTTATTGTAAATAAAAATCTAAGTTAAATATACCTAAAATAATTTATTTTGTTCATAATGATGCTCGAATACAATAAATTAATATAGAAAAATACTGGCAATTAGTATACAACTAGGTACTAAAAATAAATACTTAAATTTAGATAAATATATACAAATTAAAGTAAGTTTTGGTATACACCTTTAGTTGCAAAGCAAAATGTTATTGTGCAAATTATACAAATTCTTGTCTTGTTTTCAGTTTCATGAAATAATGATAGTAGATATATATAATTGATTTTATTCAATTTCATGGGTTAGCTTTATGTTAATTTATAACAAAATTGGACTTGATATGACTTATTTTTGTGTCATTTTTCATACAGATATAGAAAATCATAAATATTCTATTCTCTATAAACCCAAACAATGTTTCTCTGTTATACAACTTCATGTTGACCCTATTGCTTTTCAAATGTATTTTGCCTATTATATTCTAACATAACAACTCACTTTGGAATTAATAAAGCACTCAAATCATTAACTAAGAAATTATACATAAAATTAGCTTTTCCTCTACTGGCTTGCGGTTTTGCATTTCTAATTGAATCTCTTAGTAATATATCTCCAAACAATGAAGCCAATGTTTTTGCATCGTAACCATTATCGTTTGAATGTTTCAAGAGCTCTTGCAAGAACATACAGATGTAAATGAAAGCTGTCCTGTGAATGTCATTGAGTTTTTGTATAAGTAACTGAAAGAAAATAAAAAATTAATAGTAAAAAATTAACCAAATAAACTGCTCTAGTATTTTCAAAATCAATTGAACTGCTGTGGGTCTCTTAATTTCTGCACTACTATATCTGGACAAACAACTTAAGAGTCCTAAACGAGTCCAATTGACTAGAAATACTTCAATCTAATATTAAAATGAAAAACTTTAAAAATATATGATGGATAAGATAATGTAATTATCAGCTGAAAGATTGATCTAAATATGTGTCACAAGTGGTCCATTTTTCATCTAAAATATATTATAATAATATAAAAATTGAAATTAAGACGTATAATTCACTGGAATAATTCAAGGAATATTGTGACACCCTATACAGGGTCCGGCAATAGTGCGTCGGGCATCTGTAGCTCCTACAATAAAACACTTGAGAATTTTGTTTAAGTGCAAACCTAAACTATGTACCAGGATGTATTTTCGGGAAATATTTTAACTTTTATAGGATGGCCCAAAAAAGTGTGGTGGATCTGGATTATTTATTTTAAATGGAACACCCTATATATTATTGCATTTTTGGCTTCTTTTCGGATCACTTTACATAATCCTAAGATATGAGTAAATCTATTTTGATAGTTTCAGAGATATGTATTAAAAAATATATCAAAAATATATATTTTTAAACCCTTCTTAAAAAAATATTAAAAATACAAGAACTGTTCTGAAATCAAAACTATATTAGATATTTACTTTAGATGGTCTGTTCTTACTTTGCTATAAATATGGTAATCATAAATCATACAGGATGTTCAATATTTTACGCCAAACTTTCAAAAATATAAAATAATTTTTCTTCGTTTTTTTTTAAATGGAACACCCTGTATATTATTCTTTATTAGATGGAGAATTAAAAAATGAACATTTTTTGTATTTAAAGTATTCCAAAATTTTTAATAGTTTTCCGGATACACGCAGTGTTATTTCATATGGCGCTTTCAATGATAAAATACAAGAGAAAAATCATTGGGTGGCTTTGATAAAAATTTACTGTGGAAAATGCCATATGAAATACAAAACCGGGAATATCTGCGAAACCGTTAAACATTTTGAAATACTTTAAATACAAAAAATGTCAATTTTTTAATTCTCCATCTATTGAAAAAAATAATATACAGGGTGTTAAGGGGATTACTATTTAAAAAAACGAAGAAAAAATATTTTATATTTTAGAAAGTTTGGCGTAGAATTTTGAACATCCTGTATTATTTAGGATTTCCATATTTATAGCAAAGTACAGACCATCTAAATTATTATCAATAGAACCCTTTATTTGTATTTAGTAGGTATTTAGTGCAAAATATTTTTTTCTCTTTGTTAGTCATTTAAACAAGGAGTGCGGTTATGAAAATGCGTTAGTTAAGAAGCTCTTAACTCACTCAAAATGCGTGAGTTAAGAGCTTCTTAACTCACTGACGTAGATAAAAAAAGTTAACGCATTTTATAAGATATTTTGAGAACCGTTATTCCGAATTGAATGAGATTTGGGGAATCTGTGTTTTGCTAAGTGCGTTAACATTTGACTTTCGCTAAAATCAAACAAAAGATCTGGATTATTGGAAGGATGAAAATTACCCCCACCCAAACATTCTTTTTCAGATTAAACTATGTAAGTGCATAAAATCTAGTGCCCTAATAATCAAGTTGGCGAAAATTAGGTTAGAATCACAAATAGTATTTGACAATAAGCTTCATAAATTGTAAATTAATTAATTTGTAGGTTTATTTTGATTCATGAAAGTTTGATGCCCTCTAACGGAGAAACGAAGCACTATTGCATAGAGGTAAATTGTATCCAATGAACTAATTTTGCTTTCAAAAATACATAGTAATTCTATTTCCACGGAATACTGGGACACCCTGTATAAGTACCCAACTTTGAATAAGAAGACTAAGGAAGGAGCATATCAAAAATCTTAGGTACACCGCGATGGGCCTCAAATATGGCCGACTTAAATTCCGGTTTATCAGTGTCGTTCTAATTTTAGTTAAAAAATGTAAAACTATGATGTAGGGTAGACGTGGGGTAGACTCAATAATTTGTTGTTTTATTTTACGTTGTGAATAAATGTTGGTAGTTATTAAAATTGTTATAAAAATATATAATTGTAATAAAAATAGATAAGTTATAATAAGTATTTATTAACACAAACATCCGATACGCTACTGAAGCAGGTAAGTCAAATTAACATATCTAAATTCTTTGACATTAAATCTTTGACAAGTAATAAATAAAAGCTAAAATGCAAGAAAAATATATAATTTAGTTAATTTAAGTGAATTTCATAAATGATCGGTTTACTACACGTATGTATATTATACCTATAGTCACTTACTAGCGAAAAGTTGTTCCATTATTTCACTCAATTTTTGCCGAGATCTACCGCACGCTACACAACCAACTATTTTAGAGTCTTTTTCGATAAATCCCGATAGTGTCACTGTTAATTTAAGTTCTGCCACAATTTCCATCTAGATTTACTACCTTTATACAACTATCAGTGTAGAATAAATAATCTCACTACTATACTCTTCGTCACTCATGATATTATTCACAAGTCTTTAATTAGTATAAACAGCCAATTTAAAATTATTCAAACAGATACGAGTATAATCAAATTTGTTATTATTGTATTAGTTATGGCAATTGGTATGTGACAATAACACTCATAAATAATAAATAACATAAAATAAGCTCCGTAAAGACTGACAAATCCACAAAATTTCAAATCAAATTCAAATGTGTCAAATGAATCGTCAAACAGAACTGTCAAGGATCCCCACCCTAGAGAGCTTTTTCCGCCCACCACGCATGAATACATGGATAGCATTATGCTCCTTCCTTAGTCTTCTTATTCAAAGGTACCCAAAGACCTTTGTAAGCAAATCTAAGAATTATTTTGAAGAAAGAAAGTATCCTCTTATTTTTTTCGCATTTGTTAATCTTTCCCTTGTATGCATTTTTAAACAAAAAAACTTTTACTAACCTGTCGGCAATTTTGAAAATTACTAGCTGCAGCTACACACACATCTTGGAGTTCAAATGGTATAATAGGCTCTTTGATGTATGACAGAAATAAGACAAAAGTTTCTGCTACAGCTTGAGGAGTCCCGGCTAAAAATATTTATTAAGGAAAAACTAAACTAATTAAAATTAAACAAAAATAATAATTAAGGATACGTAATGGGTCTTGTGATCCAAAATCCATCCAATCCCTGATCCTTATTAGTTCCTCATGAAGGGCGCTGGACTCAAACAGATCTCTCGTTTTTAGGCCATGCCTATATAAATGATCTACTAAAAGCCATAATTCTCTTGGCACTGAATAAAGTATTGGAGACTGGTTGTTTCGCTACAAGAATAAAATTTAAGTTATAAAATTCAAAAAATGTTAAGTTTCTTACAGCTAAATTATATTGTTGAGGGTTAGACTGCATTATAGGTACTCGAATTCTAACTAGCGACGAAAGAGACTGCGTGAAGCACGATTTTTGACAGTTGCCTGTGACGGTTATGAACATGTCTTTCCCTCCTTTTAAGTGAAGCACTAAAATGTCATAGATTGATTCTAGATCTGTTTCTAAATTTACTTCTAATTTTACATCGCATTTTTCACCTAAAAAGAAAAATTATATAAGAAACATCATCAGCAAAACTTAGTATAAATTCCAACTCATATTATAACGAATTTTAAGCATCATCATTTCTGATGTAACCTATTTGTGTTAAAATCTGTCGGTACACAAATTAAATCAACTAATTCTAGCAAAACAATTTGTGTTCCTTTAAAGAGTATACTGAGGAAAAACATAAGATGTCATGTCAATTCATATAGGTTGTAAACATCTAACAAACAGATGTTAATCCAAAAAATGGGTGACGAAAACCGAAAGTATCTAAAGCCCCGTCTACACTTATCGTTTTACCTGTCAGTTTTACCTGTTGAGTCAAGACATTATGAGTCGTTCCCTGAGAAAATCTATATTGTCAGGTCTGACCAGGGTCTTAATATCAGCTGGTTTGATGAACACTTAAGGGCCATGCGTAGTCATCTACAACTACTTGGTGAATTGAGTAGACAGCATGATCATGCACGGATAAAACCGGAATACAAAAACTATAAATTACAATATAGAAACGCCATTAAGGAAGCCAAAGTTAGATCATGTGATCGCATTATTGCCGGATCTAGAAACCCATCAAAAGCTGTGTGGCAAATCATTGACCAGCATAGAGGATCCAGTAAGAAGTGCGATCAAAAATGTGATATAACAGCGGATACATTTAACACCTACTTCACCAATATTGCTCATGATATAGTAGAATTAATACCACCATCTCAGGTTGATCCTCTTGAGTTCGTGCATGATTTTGCTGTCAGTGAGACCCCATTATTTTTCTCTGGCGTATCACCTGTTGAGATCAGAGATGTTATTGACGGCCTGAAAAATAAGCATAGCTCTGATGTGTTTGGATTCAATGTAATGCTCATCAAGTCGGTTAAAAACCAACTAATAGGTCCTCTAACTAAACTTATTAATCAGAGTTTCAGAGAAAACACTTTTCCAGATGCACTGAAGATTGCCAAAATAACGCCTGTTTTTAAAAAAGGCAACCCTGAAGATCCTGGTAATTCTAGGCCCATCTCTCTACTGACTATCATCTCAAAGATCTTTGAGAAGTGTATTGCTTCCAGGTTAACGCATTTCTTCGAGAGCAATAATCTCTTTACACCGTGCCAGTTTGGCTTCAGAAAAAATAGGAATACGGTTCTTGGTATCCTGGACCTTGTGTCTTGTGTTCTGGAGTCTTTTGATAGTCTTGACTTTACAGGGACCTTATTTTGCGATCTGAGTAAGGCATTCGATTGTGTACCACATGACATACTGTTACGGAAGCTTGAAAGGTACAATTTTAGTCTGGATAGTATTAATTTCATGCGTTTCTATCTTACTTCTAGAGTTCAGGTTGTGAGGGTCGGTGGGGAGTCATCAGCGATGAGTCATGTTAATATTGGAGTGCCCCAGGGCTCAGTGCTCGGACCAATTCTATTTTTGATATATATCAACGACTTACCATCTAAATTTACATCATCTAAATTTACACTTTTCGCTGATGACACAACAGTGGCCTTCTCATCTGATTCATTGGAGGGTGCCATGGAGGGGAGTGAGGTAGTGCGGGGCCATGTTGAGGCATGGTTTTGTGCCAATAGGTTGCTCCTGAATCCTGACAAAACCAATAGGATGGTTTTCTCTCTTAGGGACTTAGAAACAGTAAACGCAGATGTCCAGAGTATTAGGTTTCTGGGAGTGCAGATTGATCCTCTGCTTCGGTGGCATGAGCATGTTGATGGGGTTGCGTCTAGGCTTAGAAGGGGATTGTTTGCTCTGCGTCGCCTTTCAGGAAGTGTTTCTGGGTCTGTACTGAGGACTGCATACTTTGCTTTGTTCCACTCGATTTTTTCCTATGCTATTCTCGCCTGGGGACATACAGCCCAACTAAAGAGGATCTTCGGCTTGCAAAGGGCGGCTGTGCGAGTCTTGGCTGGGCCTGGCTATCGAGCCGACTGTGAAGAGGCATTCAGGGCTGTGGGTGTGTTGACTGTCCCGTCAGTGTATATAATGGAAAATCTCCTTTATGTAAAAAAGAACCGAGACCTTTATAGGGTCCATGGAGAAGTCCATCACCATGAGACAAGGGGTAGGGATAGGCTTGTACCAATCTACCACCGACTGACTAGGTGCCAAGATGGACCTGGGTACCTGGCAGTTAAATTTTATAATAAATTACCCAAGGAAATTGCGGACATGCCCCTCTTGCGGTTTAAGACTGAGGTTAAGAGCCTGCTGATGCGGTATTCCTGTTATTCCTTCCAGGAATTTTTAAATATTAGATTTTAGTGTTTTTAGGTTAATTGTTGATGCCATTATTCTATTTAGTGTTTTAGTGTTTTAATGTCTATATACAATTATTTTTAACTTAGTACTAGTAACTTATTTATGTTTTTAAGCTTGATTTTTTCTTTTTTTATTATCCTGTGTAATGTGACCTGTGTAAATACTATTGTATGGCAACACCAATAAATGAATTTGAATTTGACATATAAAGTAACACATTGACAGCCGTTTAAAGATTCATATACATACGCGAATTGCGAATATTGTTATTGGTCGATTTCAAAAAAATACGGAGAGACGGCAAAATTGACGGAAAGTTATTTTAATATTTTGCAAATTCGTATAATTTAAAATTTGGGGGGCGGGAATAGTGATACTGATTTAATTTTTGCAAATATTCGCTGCGAATTTCTCTTGTTATGGTTATAATAATATAACATAATATATGGACGACTATCTTTAGAGAACTGCCCTCAGTTTTCTAGACTGTCTTTCTTTTGACTGACTTACTTGACACGCAAAATTGTCAGGTAAAACGATATGCGTAAACGAAGCTTAAAAACAGTATTCATTGCGAAATATTTTGATACAAAATTTTTAATAAGAATTTGACTTAATTGTAACTCCTTATTATCATTGTTGAAAACATACTTACCAGGATTTATACTACCACAGAAAGGCAAGATTCCAAGCCAGTCTTTACAATACGAAGCTTCATCTAGTTTTTTAATAAACTCAAATTCTGCAGGCACCTAACAAAAATAGTGAAAAAGCTATTATATGCACAATTGAATAATATTTGAAGAAATTACCACTCCTGTGTTTGCAATGATTATATATCTAGCTTGGGGTTCTCTAAATTTAACTAAATCGAATACAACTTCGGTTTGGTCTATCATGACCTGAGGTAGAAATTCGTTTTCGTGCTTGTCCATCTTTTTGAGCAGATCTTCATGTACTTTCCTGAACTTGGTTTGATCGATTACACTGATTTCTGACTTAAATAGTGCGCTGACTGGTTTGTGGTCGCTTATTTTTAAATCCATATGAGACCTGGAGTAAAATCAATAATTATTGATACATAATAAACCTATTTGTTTTTAGAAATTTATGAATTTGATTCTAAAATCAGTTTGGAAACCGTTCCAACGTGCATTTAATTTTGGTGCAACAGAACTGGCCAAGTTGACACATGCGTAGAAATCCAATGCATGCGATCTCAATGACCGTTCTAGAACGGTACAAATCTCTGTGTTGGAACAAACCTAATAAATACACTTTGGTGTATGTCTCCAATATTTTAACTAGATTTTTTCCGGGACTTTGTCCGCATCCCAAGTAACATTTTTTAACAATATTAAAAAAAATATACAATATTAAAAATTTAAAATTTTTAACATTTTGTTCCAGTTCCAAGAGGGTGAAACCACCCCTCAAATATTACAATATTTTTTTATTTAAAAAACGGTCAAGTTTCCGAAAAAAAACGCTTAAACACGTATATTTTATTTGTTTTTTTTACATATTTCAAGATTTTTTAAAAATGTATACAGGGTGTTTCGAAAAATCTGGTCATTGATTAATCACGATCCTGCTTAAAGCGCTTTGACGTAAAAAGCTGATTTTTGGAAAACAGATTGACTTTAGGGTGTAGAGATTCGATAAGAAGGGATTTTTCGAAACTCGAATTCTAAGGGGGTGAAACTATCCCTCAAATATTAAAATACTATTTATTTAAAAACCGGTGAGTTTCTCGGAAAAACTCTTAAACACGTATATTTTATTTTGTTGTTTTACACATTTTAAGATTTTTTTATAAATTTATACAGGGTGTTTCATAAAATATGACCATTGAGTAATCACGATTCTGCTTAAACTGCTTGACGTTTAAAGCTGATTTTTGGCGAACGGATTGACTGTGGAGTGTAGAGGCAGTAGAGGTTCGATAAGGAGGGGTTTCTCGAATCTCAAATTCCAAGAGGGTGAAAACGCCCCTCAAATATTACAATATTTGTTATTTAACTTTTACGCTTAAAACATATATCAGATTTTAAACTTGCTTTTGTTAATAAGGACAATTTAATGAAATAAAACATTATAAAACTAAATTTTAATATGAACATTTGAAATTGTGTCTCTAACCTGTAGCTAATTTGATGTATACCTTTCCCTCTCCATAATATTCTATCAGTCCAAGCGGGCGGTCTTGCTTTTTCACTGGTATCGTAGATATCGCTGTGTAAGTCGAATTTGTAAGTGGGCTGAAAAGTGATATCTCCTTCGCTATAATCCTAAAAAAAACACACTCCTAAAATGCACGTTAAAAATTAATAAAATGATATAATACATTCGTTACCAGTCGCAAAAATTGTTCTACATCGGTAAATAATAAAAAATACGTCAATGATATTACAATGTTACCTACCAAACCGCAAATAAATATGTTTATCGGAATCAGTTGTGAGTCAGTGAGAATTAACAGCGTAAAAAAGATAAATAAACGAACTAAAATATAATTATTGTCAAGAATTTTTCGAAATCATAATATTTTATTCTCCCGCTAGAATAACAACATTATCAGTAACTAACATTTTATATTCAGGTATGATGAATGCGCTTTTTGTTGCTCCAGAAAAGGGTTAAATATACAATATGATCGAAAAAAAAAAACGGCGTCAGCGATAGCTATGAAATGAAGATCACTTACATTTTATATGTAAAATTATATGGAGAATGTCATTGATTGTCACTTCAAAAACACCTGGACGCCGTTTTTTTTCGATCATACGGTATTATGAATTCATAATTTATTCAATAACTCATTGTGAAAACAGAATAATATAACAAATCTATTTTTCTTTTCATGAAATACATGTATACCGGGTGCGTCTCAAAAGTGGCTCACCCCTATTACTTTTTTAGTTTTTCAGATAAAAAAACGAGACTTGGTACGTTAGAATATGACATAAATTAGGTTTGATTGGCGTATTCAATTGTTTGTGATCGCTTCCTGTTTCACCGGAAATTACTTCTTCGCTTTATTATTATTGTGTAACATGCAATACTCTATTATCGCTTCCTGTTTCACCGGAAATTTAGTTTTAAACTGTTTTATTTCATTAAATCGTCTTTATTAACAAAGACAAGTTTAAAATCTGATACATATATTTTAAATGTAAAAGTTTGTACGTATGGATGTTCTTTACTCTTTCACGCAAAAACTACTTAATGGGTTAAATTTTTAACCCCTCCTTATCGAACCTCTACTGCCTCTACACTCCACAGTCAATCCGTTCGCCAAAAATCAGCTTTAAACGTCAAGCAGTTTAAGCAGAATCGTGATTACTCAATGGTCATATTTTATGAAACACCCTGTATAAATTTATAAAAAAATCTTAAAATATGTAAAACAACAAAATAAAATATACGTGTTTAAGAGTTTTTCCGAAAAACTCACCGGTTTTTAAATAAAAAATATTTTAATATTTGAGGGATAGTTTCACCCCCTTAGAATTCGAGTTTCGAAAAATCCCTTCTTATCGAACCTCTACACCCTAAAGTCAATCTGTTTTCCAAAAATCAGCTTTTTACGTCAAATCGCTTTAAGCAGGATCGTGATTTGATAAAATAAAATTACAAAAATCCTTTCAATTACAATTATTCCAAGTAGTTCTTTGTCGATTCCAGAGAATCTATCAATTTCACATAAACATATCGCCTTAAAATACCTGTTAAAGTATAGGATGTCTCAAAAACATGTACAGAAGCAAAGTTGTGTTTTTTTAAAGTGCGGAACCGGCCCGGCCCGAGGCCCGACCCCTATTGGCAGTGCGAAACCGGCCCGGCCCGAGGCCCGGGTTCGTGCCGGGCCGGGCCTGAGGCCCGTTCGGGCTACCCGGCCCGTGCAGATCTCTACTCTGAATATCATGACATATCATATGTCAACTTTTGACATTTTCTCATATAGTTTACTTGAATTTGTAACATGCAATTCGTATCGACAATTTGACTCGAACTACCAAGTGTGTGGTACCAAATTATTCTTAAATAAATGCTGTTTCCAAATATATACTAATGAGCCACTCTCGTTCTATTTGAAAAAATTGAGATATGATTAAAAATACGATTTTTGCATCTTTTAACCAACCACGACAAGACACCAAAAACATTAGACGATCAAATATATTTTCTCAAAGCTCCTTGATTAAAAATTAGTGTTTTTAACACGGCCATGGCACTCCAGATTGAAATTTAAGATACGATTTTTTTAAAGCGAAAATGTCAAAAGTTGACATATGATATGTGATTCTATTCAGGATTCAGGGTGTCCATTTCCTATCGAATAAAGTAGAAAAAAATACCGAGGGTGTCATTTAAAAATCAAAAGTTGTAGTCATTTCCGGCGAAACAGGAAGTGACAAAAAATAATTGAATACATCAGTCAATCCTAATTTATCACATACTAACATACCGAATCTCGTTTTTTTGACTGAAAAAATAAAAAAGGTATAGGGGTGAGCCACTTTTGAGACGCACCCAGTATATAATCTATAATCTATAAGATAATTTAAGATATTTAAAAAAATACTTACAAGAAGTACATTGCCCCTCTCCCTTTGCTGACTAAGTTGGTCGGCCCTTAATAAGGTATTTATTTCATTTCGCTGCAACAACGTTTTTACTTGCGTATTTGTTAAGTCGGTTATTCGATAATTTAAGTCACCTAACCAATAAATTTGTCTAAAAGAAAGCAATGATTTGGAAATGCATACAAAAGAACACAGAATATATATTTACTCATGATCTTTGATAGCTTGTGGGTTTTTCCTAAAGTTAACACGGGCGTTGATATCTTTGTAGTCTTGGTTCCGCCTTTCATATTCCTCAACGTGAGCTGCTAAATGACAGTTAACGAAGCAGAGGGACGTGTTGTGGAGTTCCAATCTAACAGCTACACCGCCTTTGTTTCCCTGTAAACGATAACACATTTATATACAATATGATCAAACTTTGGCCATATTGTTGGATGATCAACCATGACAGCCCTGCTCACAAACCAAAATACATGTGCGTTACACACTTAGGTTACACAGGTATAAAAACAAAACTGTGAGGTCAGCTCTCATATAAGGCTGTCAAACCAGCATATAAGGCTGTCTATCAGCCCATATATCAGCATAGAAGTATACATAATCAACGTCATCTTAGTATACATATGTGTACGACGCACATGTATGTTAATCTGCAAAAAGATTCTATATTCACTAATATTATGTTATGGGTAATGTTGTGAATTTATTTTTGACAAGGTTTTTTTTTTGTTCGAATGTCATATAATATTGGCCGTAGCTGTCATGGATTAAAAATTATCATCAATCATTTATTTCATATGGAAACCTACTTTTTTATTTCACTAGTAAAAAGGTTTTTCAGTTCGTTATTTTTTGATTATACATGTTCCTATACCTAAAATAAATAGTTTTTAAATTATTTAAGATTTATTTTTAAAGCATATATTTTTCTTGATTCAACGATTTTATTTTTTCGTCAAACGACATAAAACAATACACATATCTTAAAGATATCTGACCATGTCATATTGTGACACTTTGTTATATTATATATTAATATAATTATATGTCAACATTGCGCCCTTTTTTTCGATCATACGGTATATTATTAATAATATCAACCATTAGATATCACCAAAGAGAGCGAAAATACAAAATATATTTTTATAAATACACTTTATAAAGTTTTAAGTAAGCAGTATTTATCAATGTATTTATAATATTACATATTAAAAAATGTATGAATCTCTCTCTTAATGCTTAATGGCCAAAGGAAGCTAGATAAAATCATGAAAAATATACGCTTTAAAGCTAAATCTTAAATAACCTAAAAACAATTTATTTTAGGTATAGGAACATGTATCATCAAAAAGTAACCAATTGAAAAACCCATTCGCCAGTGAAGGTTTTCCATCTGAAAAAATGATTTATGATAATTTTTTAATCGCTCAATCCCACGATAGCTACGACCAATATTATATGACATTCAACAACTTGATCTTTGAAATAGATAGATTGATCTCAAGAACAGTTAACCTAATAGGACTGCTCATTCAGCCAAAAGTGTCCGCCAGGTGCATGCGAAAACTACTCGCTTTGTGACGTCATTGTAGTCCTTGTCATGGTTATTAGTAGAGAGGAGCAAAACTGCGATTTTCCAATCGCAGTTGAAACTGCGATTGTGATTTATAAATCGCTGCGACTGTAACCTGCGATTGCGATTTTGATATTTTTAAATTGGTACGCTGTAATCTGGGAAGCTCAATCCCAAAATTTCTAATAAAAAACAGAATAAATAGCGGAATATTTTTTTTTAAATAAAAACTTACAAAGAAACTGTTGGGTGTTTAGATGCCATGTGCCTTTTAAAATTTATAGTGCGTGTTTTTTATGATATTTTTGCTGCACACATATTGCACTTAAAATTTTCATCAATTACCTACCAAAAAAAAATCCACAAATAACTTAGTTTCCTTTTTTTAAACATTTTTGATTAGAACAGACCGAATAAATTTAAAAGGGAAATTAAAAATACATAAAATGTTCAAAATATTCGAATGTGCTTTTAGACAGTAGGTATACTAACGAAAAATTTATTATAAAAAAAGTTGCCGCCAACCTTAATTCAGATAAGTAGAAAAAAAAACTGTTTATTTTATCTTGTTTTCTTTTAAAAACATTTTCTTTATATGTAACTCAAAAGAAGCCGACGCCGACGGCTTTGATATGGCCCGTCCAGTGCAAGTGCAAACTTTCGAACTTTTAGATAAATAAAAGGACAATATCACATTTTATATTTAAAATTTCTCTAAAATGAAAAAACTGATTGTAAAGGATGTATTTAAATTAACATAGCAGCGGATCCACAACTGTTAGTATATTCAGAAAATTATATTATATTATGGACTGTTATAAAAATGTTTATAATAATATAATATATAACAAAATATAATAAATAAAAAGGGATGTTTCTTTTCCGTGCTCTATATCTTCTAGTAAATAAAGGATAAAAATAGATAATTTTTTATAATTTGAATCCAAAACTGTCCTTATCAATCATTTTACCTGAATCATTACCGGGGAGCAACTGTAACTATAATTAGTCATAACCGAAAACAAGAATTTTTTAACCTTCTCAATCCATAATTATATTATAAATCTGAAACTATTATCAAAATTTAAAACTAATAAATTATATATATATTATGCGGTATATAAACATATATAAGCCTATTTTCCAACGCTTCATAAAAATTACGAGGCCCTGATTGCGAATGTGATTTTGCGATCTAGTCTAGGCCGATGTGTTGGGGAGCTGCGAACGAAAATCGCAATCGCCGCTCTTCGTTGGCGTGCCCACTCCCGCGCCGGTGCCAACGAAAATCGCAATCGCAATGCTGGGATGAGCTGCGATTTTCGTTCAGCTCCTCGTTCGCCTGTCCACTGCCGTGTTGAAGACGCGCCGCCGCCGCGCCGGCCGGGGCGTACGAGAATCGCAATATTGCGATTTTCGTTCGCAGCTCATCGTTCGGCTTCTCAGTGCCGTGTCGATGCAACGCCGGTGTGAACAAAAAATCGCAATGCTGTGATTTTCGTTCGCAGCTCTTCGTTCGCGTGCCCACTGCGATTGCAAATCGCAACTGGTGTAATATTGGTTGCCTAAAAATCCAAAATCGGCAGATATATGTTTCAATCGCAAGTCGCAGTTTGTTATGGAAAGGAATCACAGGTTGCGATTGCGAATTTACAATCGCTGCGATTAAATCGCAGTTTGCGATTTTCTGCTCATCTCTAGTTATTAGTCCTTATACGGCAACCAATAATACACACACGTGCATTATTGGTTGCCGAATGCAAAACGTTCATTATTTAGTTTATTTGTTTAAACACCTTATATGTATGCAGTATAGAAAATTAACTGTATAAATCGTATTAAATACTTGGATAATGCATTTTTAAGAACAGCAGTTCCCAGCATCACCTTTTGCAAGCATTCTTTTTAGAGTACTTCCATATTTTGCTTTAAAATAATTAATAAACAATATCGTAGGCACTTAGTAAGCACTTTGTCACAATCCACAACACAAAATGAACGTATTTATACACTCTATAGCTCTAAAAACTTTAAAAACACCTTTTTCACATTTAAAATTGACAAAATAATTAACTCAAAATTTCTCAGCTGTTATTTTTATAACTTTACCATAGGCAACTAATAATACACACTATCATGACAAGGCCACGAAGGCTTTGACAAGGGCTACAATGACGTCACAACTGTCAGCTGAAGCGCGGGAAGAGGCGAACGTACGTCTTATGAGGATGAGCAATCCTATTAGTTTACCCAAATACGTTTAAATTACCTATACGGAGGGTACTGCTTAAATTCCTGTTTGACTAAACAAGGATGAACCTATGTCTTGAAACCATTCGACTCGATTTTCTGTCCTCCTTCAATACTGGGACATAAATTCTCTCATTGCTCTTATGGGGAGGCCGCGGTATAGGTAATTTAAACATATTTGAGTTTACCGTTCTTGGATTGATCTCTTCTCTTTATAGTACAGTGGCTGTGGTAACTACTAAATTTGACATTTAGGCTATACAATTTTTTTTGACAGGTAGGTTTTTTGGTCCAAAAATTTTAAATATTTTTTTCTCAAAATCGGTTAATGATAGGTATCGAGTGTTTCACGTTAAAATGCATCAAATTTTAGAAAAAAATTTAAGCATGCAACAAAAAATGGAGGTAAAGGTTTAAAATAAGAAAGTTGCTGTCAACTTCCGGTATTTCCGGAAGTGCCGCTATATAGTAAATGCTTTTCATTGATAGATCTCGTTATGAAACAACAATATGCAAAAAATCTCCGATGTAGATATTGTAGTTCTCTAGAAACTTCTAATGAATGCTCAGTGCTCAGCCTGGGACACCCTGTATATAGAAAATGTGTTCAAAGGCAAGCTATATGTTCTTAAAACTCTGTAGCTTTATATTTTTTTAACCATTCATCAATAGATCAATAAAGCCATCACCTATCTCTTTAATTTTCTGATAAAATATCTTTTATGTATCCTATGTTTTACTCTATTTTATAAATGCTTTATTACATGTCTACTTCATATTTATATAATTTAAAATCAAGTTTAAAATAAAGAACCTTATTATCATAAAACTATTGAACAATATAATGAACTGTTTAAAACCAGAAATACTTTTAGTGAAAACGCAGTTATTATATTATGCACAAACACTAATGAAATCTCAAGGTTAAATTAGACATTCTTGTGAATTATTAAATAGAACACACCAAAAAACAATTATTGCATAAATTATCAAACAATAATTACCAATAAAAAACGTCCATTATATAAATTTAATTTGCGGTACAGGTAATCTCTTTCCTGTAAAAATTAGATGAAAAACTTAATACCACCTACATACTATACCTACTCGTTTGTCTAATTATTATCTAATTATAATAATGATATGTAAGTCTTGTATATATTGTACATGTTTAATTTTATTTACCATTTTTCCTAACAGTCCAGTTCCGACAGTGTCAAAAGAAACATTTTTTACATACTGGTAATGTTGATTATTCACCATAACAGCAAGCTGCATACCCACTAGTCTTGCTAAAGCCACAAGCCTATATTTTGCATTGGGATGAATTCCATCCATAACACACTTTCTAAAAAAAGAAAAATCAAATAAAACTATTGATTATTACCTATATCTTTAAGAAAACTGAGTAAATTACTTACTGCCATTCTGCCTCCCTCGGAGTATCATTAAAAATAAATGCTTCTTTACTTAAATCAATCTCTTGGAAACCTATTGCATACAGATCCGGAGGTTTTTCATCAACACTCAGCCATGATTTTAAGGAAGCACTTGGAGGTTGACCGTTAACATTCCACGTTCCCACAAAAATACTAAAAAATCAAATATTTATATTGATTTGAATAAGGTTTAGATAGGGAAATTGTAGTAGCATACGTAAATTCCTGTTTCTGTGTAAACTCTGGTTCCCTTAATTTCATCTGATATTTCAGCATAGATTCCCTATTTATTGAAGCTTGTCCTTGAGCCATTCCTTCTCGTATTAATACAAAATCAGACTGTAAATGTGACAATATGTCAGAAAAAAAGATCTAGTCAAATTACAAAATGTATAAACACTGGGTAAGGATTTATAAACACAATGAATTACACTATGTTTTATGATGTTTTACTATCTAAAACAAGTCCAAATATCATTTATATTATCAAATATACGAATTGCTGATATACTTATCAATACAAACATTCTAATCTATTAAACTAATCTGAATATTTGCTGGGATTTAGGGCTGTGATAAAAGTTTAGCGTACCTGGTCGGAAATAGAAGTTTCTGAATTTCTATTTGCTTGATTCATGGTTCCAAAGTATTTCTCCAGCCAAGTGAAATTTGATGCACCAGTTAAGGAAACTATAAAACTCTGTTACATTTGTATTTTTGACCGATCATAATATGCTTTACCTTCTTTTGCATGAATGATTTCTGCAGCAAAATTACAGCTCTCTTTGCCAATTTCAATTTTAAATTCGTACTTGTTTTGCTTATAACGTATAATAAGAATTACATAATTCTGACCACTAACTGGTTCTGTTTCTATTCAACAAAATAGTTTTACACCAAATAATAAATGTATCAAATAAAAGCAATACAAACCAAAGGAGAAATTTTGATCTAATGGGATGACACTTTCAATTGATAGATCTGAAAAGCTAATGGGCTGTATACGAGATGATACTAAAACAAATAATGCAAAGGACTTGTTATATTCAACTAAAGTCAGAATCCTGTTATCGTTTTCTAAGGGACCATCCACCACTGAAACATTTAAATGAATCTACTATAAAGTAAAGGAAAATGAATACGAATTATTGGATGTAATATTTAATTTGAATGAAGTAAGGATACAGTTTTCACTACCTCTGCTGCCAAAAATTTAGCTTGAACAATGTTAAGGACATCTTGCTGAGCGGGTAACATTCTCGAAAGAAATGACTCATTTCATTTCTCCAGTTTTGTGTTAAATTTTATAATATTCACTTTTATAAGGTAACTCCACTAAAGACATCATCATTCTGAAAACGGAACAAAAGGGCTTTTTCTAATCAAATTAAAATGGTACTATTGTTTGTAAACAATTGCTGGAAAAATCCACATTAATACATTTATGAATTTAAGCGTTTAAAAGAGAAATAATGGGATTTAATTAAAAAACACTACAATAAAAATTTCTTATTTCTCGGCATCATTTAAATGTCAATGTCAATTAGAGGTGGGTTGTGAAATCGCAGTCCGCTACTTTGTCACAGCTCCACCAACGTCGCAGTATGTGACTGCTCCAGTTCCAAGAAAATCGCAGTGACATTTCGGAGCAGTTTACAAGTTTAGGACATCTGCGCTCGTGAGTAGCAATAGGAGCAATAGCAGGCAATAGTGTAAATTCTTAAAGTTTGTAAGGTTCGACCTCTGCTTCAGAGATGTCAGGAGATGCATTAATTTTCCTTTATTACCTTGAAAATGCTCCTAGCCCGTCGCCCGGTCAGACTGTTCCAGTCACAGTCGTCGCAGGTCGCAGTCGACTGGAGCATAGTATATTGAGTATATTCTGTGTACTGGAGCTGTTGGGAGTTTGGGAACGGGAAACGTAGCAGCGTTCGCTTTTTCTTTCATGAATCTAAATAAGATATTTATGTATTATATATTAATCACAAACAGATGTTTTTGACAAAGGTAATTTTTAACTTGTTAGTATGTTTATTTGTTAGTTAATTTTGTATCTGTGTTTTGTTGTATATCCTAAATCTTTTATTTGATCTTATACATTCATATAAGTTTTATTATTTATATCTATTTTTAAGGTCTGATGATGGCTAAATAGCCGAAACCGGTCACTAATAAAGATTTTTTTGACAGTTTCGACTTTGAATTGAATATAACATTAAGTTTTTACCATGGGCCACCACTCTGTGAAAATGAACAGACTCTTTAAGATATTTATAGCAAAGTGCTTGGTACTTAGAAACACTCAAATTCTTCTGAATAGACTAAAAAAATATAGCAACATCTATCAAACTAAGACATCAGTATAGTACCGTACAGCCGCGATTTTAAGAGCTCTAGGGGCCCGTAGTTCGGAAAAGTTCGAATCTTGTTCGCAAGGGCCCGGGAGGCTTGGGGCCCGTCGGTGACTTACCCCGATTGCACAGACGTTAAAATCGCCACTACTGATCGAAATAAAAAACGGCGTCCAGTTGGCTTGGAAATGACAATCGATAACATTCCCCATAAATTTTACATATAAAATGCCAGCAATCTTCATTTCATAGCTATCGCTGACGCCGTTTTTTCGATCATACGATATAAATAAATAAAAACTAGACGATGATGTTGCCTATCATAATCACACCTATAGTCCTGTACTTTTTAGTAAATGCAACGAACGGTGCCGAACACCGAGTGCGATTTTTCGGAGCAATTAACCTATAAAACTACATTTTTAATTTATAGGTTAATTGCTCCGAAAAATCGCTGCTACTTGTCACAGTGCTTTTATTGGAGCAGTCGCAGAGCGTAGCAGCTCCACAAAAATCGCAGACTGGCCCACCTCTAATGTCAATGTAAATTTTGCAAATTGTCAATATGCTGTGGAATGTCAAGAAAAGAACACTGTAAAATTTTCTTCCAAAGAGGTTTCAGACAGTTTCCGAGAGATGGACATTGGAAAGCATTCTACTTTTGAAGTTTGTAAGGTTCGACCTCTGCCTCAGAGATGTCAGGAGATGCATTAATTTTCCTTTATTACCTTTTATTGTCATTTAGTCATCCTTTCCAGCGCGCATGCTAATCTTCCATCCTTGTCTTACCAACGGAGGTTAAAGGTCCTGAAAGACCGTTCACATTTTGTTTTTATCGGGAAGCCTGAAAGCAGGCAGTTACCGAGATCGCCGGGAGAATATCGTGTTTATATGCTTTTGTCTCGAAAATATAAACAGGACAAAAATTGATTATTATAAATAAAAAGTGCCCTGATTTCGGTTCCAATTTGTTGTTCCGTTTCGGAAGTGCTCAATAGTGCTCGAAAATTTTCGAGACCCTGTATAAATATTCATTTTGGGACCGTCTTGTCTTACAAGATACGCTTCTAGTGTAAGATTTTTGACCCACCCCCTCAATAAAAACTATGAATTAACAGTTGTGATTGTGTGTTTTTTGGATACCACTTGGATTATTTCAATTATAATGTAGAAAAGGTATGTTTTTACCTTGTTTTGTTGATATAACTAGTTTGTTTATATGTTCAATAGCGCAATTAAATATGTAAATAATACAAAAGTGTTTAACAAAACTAGTAAGCCTAGTAGCTTACTAATAGGTTCAGCTAGTAAGCAGCAAATATGTTTTGTATTTGTTTTGTTATTTGAATCAAAGTAACTAAGCATATTATCATTGGTGAAAATATAGATAAAACAGGAAAATCACTGATTTACATGATATATTACTTGTAAATGCCTTATCTACTAGTCATTAAGTACTTGAACTGAAGTTAATATTTTATTACTTAATTAATAATTGTTTAATTATATTTTTTTACAGCCAGTTAAGTGCCTATAATGTTGTACAACAAATATACAACCACAAACTTATAAATAGATATGACTTTGTAGGTACCTATTTGAAATTATGGACAATATTTGTAATTTTTGATTTTTATTGAACAACTGAGTGAACAACGATTGTTTTAATTACGTCATTATTTATAAATAATAAGATACTTACTTTGACTAGTCCACGTGTAAATGAATTTTATTAAGTAAATAATAAACCAGTTTGGCTATTTTTGATTTAAAAGTTAAATGGTCTTTCAGACTTCAGACAAGTTCTTAAAAATACCTGATGCCACTGTTCTGTTTAGAACAGTGGCCTCAGGTAACGGGAGGTCCCTATTATTCTCGTAGTAAAAAATGCGACAAGTGCCTATTTTTGCCTTAGAGCATCAAAACAAAATAGATTTGGACTCAGCGTTGTATTAATTTTATTAAAAAAAGTGAAACTTCTTATTTCCTTCTGTATATCTGTCCGTCTGGGGACGTGCCGAGTTGGTTTCAATCCAATCCCGTTTCAATCGACCCATAATTAAGAGAAAAAACCTGATGATTTCGTCCAATTAGAGGCATCGGTTCGAAACGTCGAGGGTGTATGTAGCTGAAAATAACTGTAAAAATGTTATATCGTGGCTAACGTCATATTCAAGGCCCGACTGTTTTGACAGTTCTACCGAAGTGGTCGAGAATTAGTAGTCGTAAACAAACCAATTGTTTTCATAAGTTTCGCAACAAATCTGTGTTTTTTACGCGTTTCTATGCTAATAAAATTATACTAAATAATTTTGAGTGAATAGTGAACTATCTAGATCCGATTTATAACATCGTACCCGCGAAAAAAAAACATACTTTCGGTAAAAATTATAGTAACACCGGCGATGCCGGCTGTGTGTCCGGGCTAGGAAAAAGTTGGGGAATTTATATAAAAACATAATTAATAGCGTTAGTGTTAGTGTATAGTGTTAAACCAAAGTAAGTGACGTGTATTTTTAGGTAAAACAGTTGTCGTTTCTTTATTTTTACTTTGTGAAATAAAAAATGCCGCGACATTGTTCTGTGCCTGTGCCTTGTGGCAGCAATTATAATAAGTACTCAGGATCTGTCTACATTCTCTTTCCCAACAATATTAACTGTAACTAACTTACGTCCAGAATCTACAGAAGATGCTGTGCCTACAATTTTTCCAAATCAACCCTCTTATATGACTGTGCTTGTTCCCATAAAGAGAAAACATCCCGATGAAAGAAAACAAGATTTGGAAATTCAGGATGAAATGAATATTGAAAATTATTATTATTATTATGAAATGGCAATATATTTTAAAGAAATTAAATGAATTGTACTTTATTTCAGTATTTTATATAAAAAAAATATCTTTATCTTTTTATTTACGATTTATGGAAATGGTTATTTGAACATCGAACTACAAATTACTTAATGATAATAGTTAATTCTACCTGATATCCACATTTTTTAAATATGTTAGGCAAATTTTTACAATTATTTTTAATTAAACTTTAAAATGTATTCTGCCCTTATCATATACAATACATTTTCTTAACTTGTCGATAAAGTATAGTTTTAAATTTTTAATATTTGGAAACTTTATCTAAGGTATATTATTACTAGCTGCTAAATACTCGCTAACGCAATTTTAGGACATGCTTTTTATTATCTGGATTTTATTCTGTTCATCTTATGCTGTTGTTTATTTCATATTAATATTCGTGTTTTAGATCTAAATTTTAATGCTTTTCAATTACTTTAACGCGATAAAAAGTTAATGTTATTTTTTAATACCTTTGTGTATAATATTTTTCATATTTATCTGGCAAAACTATCAATAAATACTATTATTTATGCAAAACTATATGCAGTTCCATATGGTACAATTCAAAAGCCCGACTATTGCGGTGACGTCACAAATCGATGTCTCTGGCCTGTATCCCATGTTGGTTATGGTTATATGCGTAAAAATAATTAATGTGTTTTTTTAGAATTATTAGTAATAGACACTGATAAGATTAAAATATTAATATTCGTAGGTAATTTGTGTAGGAATTTAACATTACAGTGAATACAAATAATAATTATGTTGAATCTGGATAATGTAGGAGGTGGCAACACCGCATGGTTTAGATACTATATACCCTAAAGAAATTTCAGGTGATCAAACAAGTGGCACTAAAAAGTTTTTTAAAATTTTCCGGAAAACACCAAGAAAAATTAAAAATTTTCAACAATTTTTTTGGCAAAAAAGCCCAGGCGTCTTTCTGGGGTCGAAATATCGGGTTAGTTGGGGTAATGGTAAACAATTTTAACAAAAATATTTTTAACAAGATATATAACTTTGAAACTTTGACTGCATTTGACTGCATTGCTGCACGTTGCACTGAAAATTCTAAAAGTGTATATTTTAAGCGACTTTACTTAATACAGCTAGAAATTTGCAATAGGTTCCAAAAAAAACTTGTTAAAAACATTTACCCCATAGGAAAATCAAATATTGTCCTATTTTGGGGTAAATGTAAACATATTTTTTAAATGGGGTAATAATGAACCAAGAACTATACAAGTTTGTTTTTAGTTGGGTTATATGTTTATCAATGTGTTTAATTGTTTACAATTTTCCCCACGGAGACAAAATAAAACGTTTTATTAGAAAGACAAATTATTTATTACTGTTTCATCAAAAGTGTACAAAAAATATTAAGGTTTTTCAAAAACATCTCTTTCCCGAAAACGAACATTATTATCTTCCTTCCTACAAACGTAACCAATGCATTTATAACGTTTCTTTTTTTTTTGGTCTTTTTCATATCTGTCTTGGAGCTTTTCAGTGTTAACACGTGTTTACTATCACACCAAAATCAAGTTTACAATTGCCCGGCAATCCTATTTTACTGGGACATTTGTAAACACCTCTATACTTCATTTCCCGTAAAAGTTAATCTCAAATTGTAACATGTATTTTACTAATACAACGCTAAATGAAACCACTATGTATATAAATTATCTTAGCTTATTCACAAATTGAAATTTTTAAACAAAATTTCGCTAAGGTATAAAATGTTTTACAAGTTTTAAAGCAGCTCTCCAAAAAAATGTTTTTGCACCATGAACAAATAGTACTAGAAACTCATTTAATCGAGTCAATTACACATCAAAGATGTGGGCGCCACTGTAGCCAGTCGACTTATTCTCTACCCGCCAAATTCAAAAGTTATTGGACCTGTTTACAATTGCCCCTGTTTACCATTACCCTAACTAGCCCTACTATCAGTTAAAATACTTGCACTTATTTCTCAGACACCTTGTACTTATTTATACTTACATCAGATATTTATTTATTAGACACGAGATGGTTGAATTTTACTACATTATTTTGTACTAAGTGTGGTTCGTTTTTGTCCTATATTGAATATTTAATTTAAATATTTTATACCGGGTGCGTCTCAAAAGTGGCTCACCCCCTCTAACTTTTTTATTTTTTCAGATAAAAAAAAAACGAGATTTGGTATGTTAGAATATGACATAAATTAGGATTGATTGACGTACTATTCAAATGTTTTTAGTCACTTCCTGTTTCACCAGAAATTACTACAACTTTTGATTTTTAAATAGTACTCTCGTTTTTTGTTTACTTTATTCGATAGAGAACGACACTCTGAATAGAATGGCGTATCATATGCCAACTTTGACATTTTCTCATATGGTTTATTTGAAATTGTAACGTGCGGTTCATAATGACAAATGCGGTTCATAATGTACCAATAAATTATTCATAAAAAATGCTTTTTCCAAATATGCTAATGAGCCACCCTCGTTCCATTTGAAAAAAATGAGATATGATTAAAAATACAATTTGGCCATCTTTAAACCGACCAGGACAAGACACGTTAAACAGACGCTCAAATACATTTTTGCAAGGCTCCTTGATTAAAAATTAGTGTTTTTCACACAGCCATGGAACTCTAGATTGAAATTTAAAATACATATGAAATAAATTTCAAGATATGATTTTTTTAAAGCGATTTTTTTCTTGGATTTTTTAAAGGTCTTTTGTCGAAACCCGTATACTTTTTGGCGGGAGGGACTGTATATAGTTACGTTTTTGGTTAAGTAAAGATTGAGTTACGGTTACATATTGCATGTCGATATCAGTACTATAAATAATACCTGACTTTATCGATATAAGTTACTCCTATGGATCGTGTGTACTTTTGATTAAATATGTTTGCCTCGATGTTTACCGAAATCTCAAGTAACAGTAAATCCAACAAACCTTATCACACCAGTTTTGCAGTAAGTAACATCGATATGCCTCTGTGGCGTCATAGGTCTTTTTCCAAGAATTATATAAAATATATGTACTTTTATTTTACAAAGTCACACCATCAGCAAACACAATAATAGTGCAATGGGGTCTTCAATTATATATGGTGTAGTTAGAAGAATGGCTGGACCGATTTTCATGATCTCTGATTTGTTGCATTCGTGTCCGCCCAGAATAGCAGAATAACTGTTTTAATTTCGGAAAAATTCACCCCAAAAAATTAGATACAGATAAACTAGACATAGATTTTAATAAAAGAGTTCTAATAAAGTTAAAAGAAACTGGAATTTTCAGGAGCCCTTTAGTACTCGAC